GGAAAAAATTCTAAACTCTGGCAAATGGCAAAGAGCAAAATTCTTTAATTTCTCTGTCGTTTGCAAACGGAGAACACACAGTAACCACAGCACAACAGCTGTACCTACAATGAGTTCTGACTTGGAGCTGCAAGCTCTCACAATATATAGGACTCTCTATACAATGTGGTCACTCCCTGACCCAGAGCCAATTCCAGTCAAACAGGTTAATGCACAGTTACTCTTAACAGTGCAACATCCATCCTTAGGGTAAGTTAATTGCTCAGATGATAAACATATTTGTTCAAAAATGGGTGGGTTTCCAAAAATCAGGTTTACTAATGGAACAATTTGCATAACAAGAACATTATCAGACTTTGTACGTTTACTCAGCACGTAGCCTTAGCTTGTGACATTTAATGAAGGAATTTGTAAAGCCTTAGGGTTTATTCCATCTCACTACAATTACCTAACCTGTTTATTGTTATCTGTTAACAAACACTGGCGCCTTATTTTAGTCACTGACAACCTACTAGAACTTTTCCAAGGAGAGGTCAAAAGGAAACCTATCTAACTGATTCTTCAAAGACTCCTTGACCTACACGTTTTAACAGACTAAACAATACAAGTGTTAAATAACTAAAGAATTAAAATAAAATTCTTAAAAGAAATAATAACACAATTTTTACTTAACAAAAGTTATGTGGCTTTTGGCATTTCTGTGATTTCACAAAGCATGCTAAAATTTAAAGCAGGAAATCTTTTTCCAGGGAGAAATTTTTAATTGTATTGAAGAACAGTACTCAAAGTGGGAAGTCTGAGGGTCTTACAGTTTTCATTTGGTTTGATCAAGTAGAAAACAGACAACAAAAGAAAAAAAAAAAAGTATTTCACTTAAAAAAAACCCAATAAGATTCTCACCCTGACAAGCAGGTTACAAATCGGAGTTATTTGTTAATATAAGTGTGTAAAGTGCATATGATTTTGTCACACCTTCAGAGAGATATACCTCTTGCCAAATGCAGGTTAAAAATGTTTTCTTATAACATTTCCATAGCGACAGATCTTGCATGTTCTCTGAGAAGACACTAAATAAATCACACAGGTTGTAATTTCACCGAAAAGAAACAGCTGGAATTATAAAGACGAATGATCCCATTGTTGTCACTGATATCTATTTGTGTTTGACCTTTGGAAAACAAGCACATTGATTGTTGATCACATTCCATCTCTGTTCCCCTCACCTCTTCACACACCCTGCCCAGTTATTGCAAACTTACACTGATGTCTTCATCATAGAGCAACTTTGACTCACCATCCAGCAATTTTCTTGCATTTCTCTTCTTTTACATTTTATTACCATAATCTTGCCAGTGTGACCCACTTCCCCCCATAACCCCACTCCCGCCTTGCTCCCCAGGCTCTATCTGAGCAAACTGTTGCACACCCACTCACACCAAACCTCTCAAGAGAATTATTTATATTGCCCAGGTCTGGGACCAGTCTAATTTTAGAGGAACTTTAGAGTACACAAACCTGAGGTCTGACATTTCTCTCGTTGAAGGCAGGCTCTCTGCTGAGAGAGACAGAGAATAAAACATGATATTGCAACGGCCTTTGATCTTCTTTTCCTCCCTTTGCTCATTTTCAAAGGACCTCTGAGTAGTCATCCAGCTGATGGCGGAGCATAAGCCACAAAGAGGTACCCATGATGGACGCAGAGCAGATTATGTTGCTTTAATTTTGCTTAACATCCGAGCTCACCCATGTAGGCCGACTTCTTTTTCTGTTTTGTTTCGGCCTGCTTAATCACAGAAATGAATATTTATCCATGTACATAAATATGCAAGACCCTTGTTCCCCTTTGGCTTACACATAAGCCCCATACATCAACTGATCTCTCAGTCCATGTGCAACAAGGGAGCATGTTAAAATTTTTATCTCCCTGAAATCCCGACTTTTGTGTTCGTATGTGATCTTAACTACATTCTTACAGCTTATGAATCAGATGTCATTGTTTATAAAAATCTACATTTGCTTTGAGTTAGTCTGCTAATATCCTATGCTGCTTTTGAAAATAAAAAGAAGCACATTGGAATTTTTTTCTGCTTTTCCATTCTAGATTTATTCAGGGAAAACTGCTCTATTTAAAAGTGGAATTAAAAATCACAAATTACAAAACTTTAGTAGCATAAAGCACTGCTGTCAAAGAATAGAGAAATCTCAAAAGTCTGTATAGCACATGAAGTGAAAAAGGCAACCACAGCAACTGACTTTTTTTTTTTTTTTTTTTTTTTATGCCAGGAGGTCAAACTCTATTAGTGATGTTCCAGCAGACAATCTGAGGGAAAGCGTGTTCCTCATCTCGCTGAGAGTCTCTGAAAATGGCCACCTCTTTGTCAGGGCAATTTGTTGATGATCTACGGTTATGATAAGAATAGGGCAAAGTGCTTGCAGGAGACAGGGGCCTCAGCAGCCAAGGCACTGGGGCCAACACAAGCAATCAGCCAAGGTCCCGATCGAACGCCTGATAACTGAATGTTCCTGATTGCTTATAAGTATAGCAGGCGGCAGACAGCTAAAGACACTTTCCTGCTGATTTTGATCGACAGCGACGGGTCATTCAAAATCAACAACTGTTACCCACTGCTATCAATACTAGAGTTTACATTAAAAGTTTGTGATCAAATCATCTAGCAGCTATATACCACTAGAGGTGCTTTCAGATCTTTACTGGGATTGTTTTTCATGTTGCTTCAGAAGATGAAAGAATGCCCAGGTTAAAAAAGAAACAGACAGCATCAGCTTCACTCATAAGCAAAGATATTTAAGTAGCTCTGTAAAAGCTTAATTTTATCATTTTAGCACAGAAAAAAAAACAACATATTTTTATTATCTGGGTCTGTTGATGTTGTGGTCAAACCATTTTGTCCTATCAAAAGATCTAATGAACTCAATTTATCAGTTTTCTGGTAGAAGTCTCCTTTTGTTTTAAATGTTTGGATATTTGAAATAATCCACTCTGAAAAGCAAGTTTTTGATGCAGTTTTTAATGCATTTTTAAAAATTATTTTACTATGTCTTCACCAGGAGTAGTGAAAAATCCAGAAGTTGTTGCATAACCAATTCCTTTCCAAGGTGTTTTTGCTCCAGTCCACTAATTTTCAATGTTGATCATTGCATATTTACCTCAGAGGTATGCCTCTTTCACATCATTTTTTAACTTACCTATGAAGTGAAAATTTGTTGAGAATAAACTTGTATTCTTGTTTTATTAGAATTTTATTAGATTTGCTTAGATAACAGATTCATTTATCCTGTTCGATCAAATCAAGCTTTGAGACAATAAATTTATGACATTCAAAAAATATGATTATTACATAAACATAAGCTTGTGTTCTTGCGCCTAATGAAGCTGCTGTCACAGGGTTTATTATTGAAGCATGAGAATATTAACCAATGACGTCGACCTAAAAGTGGATTTTATTATCACCATGCACATATAAAAGAGCCTCTTATAAATCATCATTATTTCAAACAGGGTTTGAAGGGAGTTGTAATTATAGCTGTTGAATACAGAAAAATGAGTGAAGAATATTTGATTGAACAATAATGCTCACTCACAGTAACTATAGTTGTTCTGAAGTCACACTGACAAAATCCTGTCTTTTCCAAGTTCAAAGCTTTGCAAAAATGTGTCAATACCTGTAAGAGGACGACATATTTACCACAGAAAAAAACACCTAACAAGTCCATTGCAATCTCTTGCATCACTATGAATTATACCGTCAGTTGTATTCGTGGAGCTCTGACTATTTGAAACGGCTCGGGACACAAGCTGTTTTTGCTTTGATTTAAATCTGGTTTGAGCAAGCCAGGAAAAAAAAAAAAAGTCAAATGTTAGGGGGGGAAAAAAATGACAAAATGGAATTACAAAAATTGAGGTTGTTCATTTTGTGCATCTGTTAGCGTAACTGAGTACTGTTCAAAGCTAGGCCAATAACACGAACAGAAGATCCCTTCAAAATGTGTCAGGCATTTTTTGTCGATAATTAATGGTTTATTCAGAGAATTTATTAAGGCACAAAAGTTCCAAGTTATTTTTATTTATTTATTTTTTAATGAACAGCTAATCTGTGCATTTAGCCCATCTTTGTTGTTTGTCTTTTTCATGTGATCCCACACTGAGTTTGTGATGTGGAGATCAAGGCCATGCCATATGTTGCAGCACCTCTTGTTCTCCCTGAACCTAAATTTAGTCTTAATTTACTCTAAACACAGAGCAGTATAGCTGTAGCGTTAAATGAAAACTCCTGGAAGGGTTTTGCACAGAATTGTTCTCAGTTATTTGGAATTTTATTAAAATATCTTGTGGCTGAGATTCAAAAATAATGCATGTCACTTGAATTAAGAAATACCCTGAAGTTGAAATTAAAGCAAATTTTAAATGAAAAGAATCATGCATGCCCTAAATAACATGTAAGTTAACATGTCTTGCATGCCCAATCAAACATTTCTAATGACTCTTTCAGAAAAGCAACAAATCTAGAAAATGTTCAGATGCTGTGAAAACTAAGGCAGGGTTTAATTAAATTCAGCATATTGTTCATAATTTGTTCAATTTGTTTCTTGACTCTACATTCCTAAATGAGGGGAATCAATTCACATTTTTTTTGGTTGCTTGAGATGCAGCAAAAAACAAAACAACAAAACAAGTGGACTTTATATCATTGCATCAAATGGGCATGAAACATTTGCACAAAGCTCCCTAAATGAGCATTGGTGGACCTCTCAGGCATCACAACAGCCTCTGTGGAGCATTAATGCTTTGTCAGCTTCAATAGCCACACATAGAAAGCTCCTTCCCCTCCTGAGTCCTTTTCTGGTTTTATGAGGTCCCTAATGATGACAACAGGTTCAGAGTCATTGGTTATTACTGCTACTGCATGCTGTCTGTAGTTTGTAGCCAGAGATGACCTTTATGTTCAGATAACCTGAAATAAATCCCTTAAGCCTTTTAAGGAACTGAATATCAATTTTATTTTCAGCAAAAAGATAAAAACATTATTTCCACAGTTCTGCCTCGTTGAAATAAATAATACATAGCGGTTGCACAAGTGCACACCCAGTTGTAACATAACTTGTTTAAGCTGGGAAAAGAAAAAGAAAATTACCACAATATGATTATCATACAGTGTGTCCGTTCACCATCGATATTCAAACCGTACATTATTTAAAATTCAATTTTAAAATTACAATATATGCTGGACTTTGCAAACTACAGAAGCTAAATTAATTTACTTACAAACCAGACCTCTGTGAGGTCAGCCATTTTAAAAACAAATACTTGACTTTTCCCAACCCTAAGGTGAAGGTGTTGTGAATCTCTAGCACAGCACGGACAAATCCATCATCAAGGCTCACTGATCTGACGCTCTCACCTTGTAGAAAAGCAGAACTAAACCCCGACTTCATAGCTGAGAAATGTTACTGTTGGTAATAGAAAGGCAGAAGTAGAAACAGACTGAGACACACACTACGTCGCGACATCTGCAAAATGTACTTTCAGGAGAAGAAGAGCTTGTGTTTCTTTGTCACCCTGCTGATATATAAAACTGATGGATGTCATTCTTTTTATGATTCACACAACTTCCTTAGCACATCAACTACTGTACTTGGTTATACTGTATTATAGGTATGAATCTGTGTGTCATGTAGTGTTAAAGATACTAGCCAGAGGTGTATTTTTCTTCATAAATAACTTTACAACAATCTGAACAACACAGTCATGAAGTATGGATTATTAGTGTGGAATACAAAATTTCTAATAAGCAGACATTAAACAAAAACCCTCTAATAATCCTAGTGTGTTTGTATTTGAACTGATGACATTGTGTGAACCAGCAGGAATAAATCATATAGATTGATTTTTTATGTTGTCAGAACTAAACTGAGATGAAGAAAAATACAATACAATGTCATCAGACAGAGGGACAGTTCAAGCTGTGACCCATTCTGTGGATCCCCACTGCTCTGAATGGTAAAGATGAGGAGGAAAATAAATAGGTTTAATTATATGTACATTGCCATGCAGAAATAACCATTCTGCTTGAACTTCTTAACTGGTCAATTTACAACCCCAATCTTTAATGGAGACTAACACAAGTAAGAAAATAATTGTTCAAAAAAAGAGTAGTTGGTTTTGAAGATTTTATACAAAATTATATGCTGAAAAGTATTATGTTAATTTGTATTCAGGTTCCCTGGGTCAGTACTTTGGAGAACCACCTTTAGCTAGAATTACAGCATAGAAGTTATTTTGTCAAATGTTATTTTCTTTGCAAAATAACAAGCTCAGTCAGAAGGAACCCAGTGCATCTTGGTTTGAACATTGACTGGGTCATTTTGACGCAAAGACATGCTTTGATCTAAATTATTAAATTGTAGCTCTGGTTATTTGAATTAACCAAAGTAGCCCATTCACCTTCCAGCTGAATGGGCTTCCATTTAGCTGGAACCTAAATCTGAAGTCTGTTGCTGATTCCAACAGTTTTTCCTCGATGATTGTCCTGTATTTACCTCCACCCAACTTCCCATCAACTCTGACCAACCTCCCATTCCCTACTGCCCATATAAAATTAAAATCAGTATTCAAAAACACTCATTGTAATTTTAACGTGACAAAATTTAAGGGACTTTAGAGATTTTGAGTACCTTTTGAGTGGCATCCACTCATGTTCATCACTTTTTAACTCTATTTCATACGTGTTTAGCCGCAATGTAGTGGGAGTGGCAGCGAATGCTTCTTTACTGGTACATACCAATCCAATGTATTATACTCAGTGGACAAATGCACTTCCCCCATACACCTTCACTCCATCTGGCTGCAGAGCAACTGGAAAGACGAAGGCGGCATAGGATGTTTGGCAGGAGCAAGTGTGGTAGAGCTAACAGGTAGGATTTGGCTCATCAAAAGTGGATATACTTGGCAACCATAGTTGGTAGTAGTGGTGGGTGATGCAGCAGCTGTGCAGCTACCGGCAGGAAACATTTTCTTCTTTCCGTTCCAATTTGAAGTAAAACAATAAGCAGTTTTTTTTTTTTAAAGAACTTTGTATGAACTGATCTGCAATTCCTCAAAGGGGAAATTTTGGTCATCTTCAAAACGTTGGTGTTTTTTGGAATATTACTCAGAATTTAAGCAGTACGACTGACTTAAGGAGCCAAACTCTGCCTACTGTCTTTTCCACAACCCCTTTGAACACTGGTGGGATAACTTTAGGTGTGTCATACATGCCAGAGTGACCAACAGAACCAATTGGCTGATGGATTCAATGCTGGTTGAAAAATACAATGCCATTCAACAAAAGTGTGTATCCAAGCAGGTAATCAGAAAGATAATGTGATCTCAGGCTGCTGTGGTCTTCTATGGATCACCTTTACACTCCTGAGCCTTTGTTGTGCGAAAAAATACATTGCTTTATTGTTGATGGTTCTTTTTTCTTTAAACTTGGATCATTAAATCCAATAAACCACACCAGACAGGAGTCAATAGTCAATAATGTTTTGGGGATTGGGAGACATAATTTGGCAGGTGTTGCATGGTGCTGCCCAAATACTCAACTCTGCTGCTTAACCTACAAATCCATTTTCCTCACAAATGTGCCATAATTTAAGGAGAAACAAGCAGGCTTTCCAGATTGATGTTTTATTTCCAAAATGCATTGTTCCTGCAAATATAGAGTGAAAACTAATATGTTCTTACTCTTTGTGCTACAACAGCAGGAACACCTCCTTTGCCTATTTTACCTAATTTTTCAGGTACAAAAATATCTACTTTGTGATATATATCTATTACATTTAAATTCCTGAAAGGAAATGGGAATTGGTTGCAATTGGTTGGTCAAAATTTCACAAAAACTAGATTCAGACATGAATCCCTACAACTAATTCATCTCTGCCCCTTGTGGCCACTTTTACAGGTGTGTCCCAGTTATAAATCTAGGATTTATAAATGAAGGAGGATTTATAACTGGGATTTGCCATTAAATGACACCAGCCCCCCAACCCTGCCGGGATGAGCGCATGTAGACAATGGATGGATGAATTTAAGACGAAATACCAAAACAAAAAAGGAAAACTTGATAAAAAAGATATTGTAGCTGGCAATATCTAAAGAGAATTTGATCAGATTTTACAGAACGGTCTGGCTAGTAACTTTAAGAATTATGACTGAGTCCATGACTAATGTGGCTCTGGGTGTGAAGGTTTATAAAATACAGCCCATTTTCAACTGTCTTCTGCAAAAAAAACGGTAATAAGAAACATAAATTGTTCTCATATTTCATCTGAGAAGTCCAGAGACTACTGATTAGCTGCCAGGGGGACAGCATTTCATGAAAAACTTTTTGTTTTTTAGCACAGAGATAGCAAAGGAATGCATCAAAGCCGGAGTGTTGGGATTGTGCCCATCACTGGAATGAAAGGACAGGTTTCTCCCTGTAAAGAAAAAAAGCTTCCACATGTAATGCATTTTGCAGTCAGTGGTTGGACTCAGGCCCAAAATGTGAAACCTTTAATGTCTTTTGCACACAAGGTTTCCTCCTTAGTCAAGCCACTTTTGAAGTCAGTGTCAAAATTCACCATGGCACGCTTTTGAAAGCCCGTACTAGGAGGTAAACAAACCAAAAAAACCTTTGAAGTCAAAGTGTTTTTCCTTCAATCACTTATGTTGTCTTTGAATCTTTTCCTCGGCTGCAACACGGCGGACAAAACCACTTCCTCTGACAATATATTACTCACGTTTTAAAGTTCCAGAACTGCTAAGACATTTGGGGGCTACGAGAACACATTGTCACTGTTGCCGTACAGATCGGCCAGCTTTTTAAAGCGCGGCCCCCAGTTGCTGAGGTAGTCGTAGTTCTGGTCCGAGTCTGTACTTAGTGACTCCAGCGAGCTCAGCGACTCGGCTACAGATCCGCTGCCCTCAAAGGCATACGTCTGCAGGGAGTCGTACGGGGGAGCTGTGGGATCCACGTCGGCGTCCTTCAGCCGCTCCCAGATAAACTCTCGAAACACCACGTTGTCGGGCAGCGACTTGTAGGGCGGGCGGGAAGCAGAGGTGTATTGGTAAAAGGTGGGCGTGTCCGGCGTGACGTCTCGCCGTGCGGCGGGGTCTCTGATGATGTTGAGGTTGCGCAGGGTGACCATGTCGAAGGCCTCCGTGTCTTCCTCTCCCCCTCCTTCGTCGTCATAGCGGACGATGTTCTCCCTGATGTCCCTCTCCTCCTCCAGAATCAAGGGCTGCTTCCTTCTCCGGCGCATTGTCACAATCAACAGAACCAACACTGCAAAAGAGAGAGGAGGAGAGATCCTGGAGTGAGAAATTGTGGATGATGTGTATTATCTGTGTGCTGATAATCACTTCACACTGACTTAAGACAACCAGGGAGGAGTAGTGTGCCATTTGTTTTTCTTTGATTCGTCAACTGAGAGAAAAATGGTTCAATTTTTAAAAATGAGATTCTTAGGGAGCATATGAAGAAAAGTAGAAGTGTTTCTCCAAAAAAATAAAAAATATTGTTCACAGTTATTGGATTTTCAAGTTCCATCGATTTTCAGGTATAATGTTAGGTAAGATCGCCATGTTTTCTTACAAGAACAAAAATAGCAATTTGTTTATCTGTGACAAAAAATGTTTTTTTCAAAACAATTAGATTTTGCTTTGGTCAAGATTTGCCTTAAACTAAAATACCATATTTGTTCTAACATGGCATACAGTGTCCACCACATTTTTAGTAATAAGGTGGAAAAATCCCAAAAATAAATTCACATTTCTTCTAGAACACAAATCTTCTTTTTTTTTCTTAATTTCATCCATCAATTTGAATATATGTATTCAGTAGGATCTTATAAATGTGAAATCGAATATAGTTTTATTTTTTTTAGTAGCTTTTCAACATGGGGAAGTCAAGCAAGGCAGATTTATTAAAATGGCTACAAAATCTAAGCTGGCCTGAAGGTACAGTAAATACAATGACAAGGAATTTCAGGTAAAAACCATTAGACACATTTCAAATCCCAATGTCTGGAAGCCATGTTAGGGAAAAAAAATATTTTGCTTTGACATGATGAAGAAGAAACATGAGAAAAAAATCTGTGCTGATAACCTCGTCTCAGCACATGGCAATGTGAAGTTGGACATTTTAAAATAAAAATAAAATAGGTTACAGGGAAAGGAAATATGGTCATTAAACCACAAAATCAACCTTCCTTCATGACCATGTGAAACAAGAGAAGAGAAAGAGCTGTGCAACTGGCAAACATAATTAGTGAGTTCAAAGTATTAATAATCTCAGTATATCCCACACATCTTGTTGCGTTATTAATCAATATATGTGCTGTCAAAAGTAAAAGACAAACCTGGAAGTACTAAACCGAAATGAAATTATCAAAATGATTGGACTAGATGACAGAAGATTAATGGTGGAAAAAGAGGCTGAGAGTCATAAATAAACAGTTCAAATATTAAGCTGAGAAGGCAAAGCTAAACCTTTGAGGTAATTTATTTTTGTGTTTTCCGCCGCCCACATTCCGCTTCCAGACTTGTTCACAGCTCCACCATGCTGAATGCACGGGCCTCTGAGATCATATAGCAGAAGCTCCTTCAACCCCTGCTCCCTCTTCCCATACATTATTGCTGAAAATAACTCCACGCCCAAGCAAACTGGCAAACGTCTAATGATTCTCTATCCATCAATGTCAGGCCGGTGCCAGTGAAATATCGTTCCACTGGTCCATATTTCTTTTCCTGCCCGGCATCGAGCTGCTGCTGGCGGCAGAGAAAGAGGCCCAGGAACCAAATTCAAAGACCACTTCACACCTTCTAATAAAGGAGCAAATAGAGGGGATGGGAAGGAGGGAGGGAGGTGTCACACCGAAGGACTGGAGAGATGAATGGGCAGCCTTCTGTTAGCTGTTTGGCAACCGCATTCATCCACGGTATCATAGTGGTCTGGAAAAGTCCAACATTTGATTTCCAGTTTGCCAAATAAGAATAATTGTGGGAAAATAATAATCTCAGAATAGAATTTAATCTAGAAAAATTGTCTATTTAGTTTGTGTCTTTCCTTCCTCATTTCCTTTTTGTCTAACTTCCTACTGTCTTGCATCCTTTCTTGCTTCCTTTGTCTTTCCCTTGTGCTGTCCTTCATTCCTTTTTCTTTCAACTTTATGCTGCTCTTCTCCTTTCCTGCCTTGTGACTTGACATACTTGATCCAATCAACAAAATTTAAAAGCATGCTGTATAAAAATTTCTGAACATATGGAGAACGTTTGTATTTTACATTGTAAAATGAACATGGAGGACTGAGAACTAAAAAAATTGGGTGTGGGAGAGTGGAACTTTTACATGACAAAATGTGTAGGAATCCTGTGTAAAATGTTGCAGCTCACTGGGACTTTGAGTGGTCCCTTTTTTCCAATTACCCTCCTTAGATCCAGGACACATTTTAGTGCTTCCAAACATTTCCACAGGAGATTGTTTCTTCTGTTTTTAGAGCCCCGAGTCATTCTAAATTCTATTCAATTCAGCAAGGCTCCTCTAAAATGAATTACAAAGTGGCACATCCAAATAGAATATTCCAAGTGCTTTCCAGCAAAGCTCTTTAGGGTTTAATGCCTAGAAGGCAGACACAATGCTTCATGGACTGGAAACAGGCCAGCATCCAGTTACAGTCTTCTAGGTGGAGCTGGTTGATGGTCGAGAATACAGATAGTTTTTTCCGAGGCTCTTTTGAGAGACGTAGTTTGCAGCCTGGACGTTTTAGCAAACGCAGCCACGGTACGACAGGTACCCACTCTTCACTTTGGAGAACAGATGTAAACTAAGTGAACAACAGAGGAAAAAAAAGAGATCAATTCTGTGCTACAAAGGCTTTTGCTGTAATTGAATTGTTTAAATGATCTACCCCACGCAATCGATGGTGAACAAGGTGAATTTTCTCTCCTGCCCTTTTCTTACCACCAGGCATTGCTTTCTCATTAGAGTATTTCTATATGTGTGATTCAGGTGAACACATAACAGGTTATTTACTCACTGCTTCACCCACACAGTCTGTGTCTCTGCGCTTCTGTTTAATAAAGATGAATTAATCAACAACTTTGACACAGACATGTAAGAAGAACATAGACAAGCCTCACACACGAAGCTTTCATTGCTCAATTAATTCAAGGCTTTTCTGTTGCTGAAATGCAAATCTTTCTAAAACAATTACTATATAACATGCACATCTAACTAAGTGAGTGACATCATTATGAAATATTGCTACTCCTACAAAAGTAACATTTCTGAATACTCTACCCACTGAGAGTAACTTCACTGATTGAAGAACAGGCTTAACTAAAAATGGAGCAGGTACAGATTTACACTTTATGTTAAAGTGAAACTTATTGTTTGAACAGTGAATACATGAACGTCTTGTTCATTTATAACACATAAACATAGCCTGTTGCAAGTATTGGTTTCATAAGTTTGATTTTAGGAAATAGTTCCTTCAGCTAGAATTTAATTTACTTCTGAAACCTTTTCAAAAACTTTATGTTGCCTTGTTACATCATTTTTGAATATTAAATCACATGTTATAGTAGGTAATGCAGTACTTAAGCACCCTTTTATTCAATTTAAACCCAAAATTGTTACTATCAGTATTTGTTTTTTATGGAAATCATTCTTAATGGGTAAAACATTAACCTGAAAACACAAACTATGTTCCAAAAACTTTGGAGCATTTGTTTAGTTAAATCATCTGCTCAAAAGTTGAGTTTTTATGAAATGTTCCTATTATTTAATATTTTGGCATGTTTTTATGTTCACTTTTTGCAGTGCTTGACAAATCTTTTACTTTCAAGTTTGTAGTTTGTGAGTGCCTTCTCTTTTGCCTTGTGTTAAATTTTACAGAGCTTGTTTCTCTCTAAAAACAGGCTCAGATCCACTTATATTGACTTTGCCATATTGAAATACTTTGCCATATTTCCTCATATTCAAGTGTATATGTTTTCTTCTAGGTTCTCTGTTAATGTCGTACTAATTCTTGTTCACGTCAGTCAAACACTGTTTCCCTCACTGTCTTGCTTGTCATTGATTATTTCTCAAATACAGTCATTGGTTCTATGCTATACTTGGTTCTGAACTTTTTTGTTGTGTTTTGGGGTCTTCCTTCATTATAGAATAGAAAGGTTATTCGTTGCCCATGGAAGGGCCTGTGCAGAAATGCTTAGATTTACATATTGTAATTATGTGGCGCGGTTTAAGTTGGTGAGGGACATGCATCAGACCCAGGTAGAAGTAAAATTATGATTTAATGGTGAGAAATATCCAAACAGTCCACAACCAGGAAGCAAGGGGTCAACACAGGTAGCAACTAGTGCCAAGGAAAATACTACAACATAAACTCACAATTTACAAGGACCCAACGAGGAACAAGGAACACAGTGAGGTTAAATACACTAAGGGTGATCACTGAACAAGATACACCTGAGAATGATCAAAGGGAGACAGGACAACACTGAGACTTCGAGACACAGAAACTCAAAATAAACACACTGAAAACTCAAATCACGACACGTATACAAATGGAATGACTATCTCACCACTTCCAGCATGGTAATAAGCTACACGAGCAATAACAGCAATGCTTAAACATTTACACTACATGAACTAGAGGGAAAGTCTGATTGACCTAATCAAATGTGAAGGTTTCGATCCGCCAACTGCCTCACACCCACACATTGAGCTTTGTTTACTGTGAATTCAACCTGGGTAAAACAATCTTTCCGAAAGAGCGAATACATTTGCAACAAGAGCAACACACACTGAAAAGAGCGAATGGAAAAACTGTGTCTGGTCACATAAAGAGGTGTCTTTCTCCTTCAGGGATGTGACTGCCTGCTGCTGTGAATGTACAAAGTGATGAATGACAATAGACAGGTGCAATCACAACAGTTATGCAGGACTTCCTCTGTTCTTCAGCAATGCTTCTCAAAGCTTTCTCCATATCTCTGAATGCAAGATACCACACACACACTCCTGTGATCCTTTTTGCAGTTCACTTAACCAAAGAAGTTAAGAGACCATATTTTGTGCTATTTCAGCTCTTAAACATTTTCACCTAATGCAGCAGATGTGTGTGCTGACTTCCAGTTTTAACAACTTTTATACTTGTTGAAATATGCAGGATGCTCAAAATATTTAAACACCTTGGACTAAGGATAACTGCTTTAGCCTACTTCTTGCTTGAAAAACAATTTTTCAACAGGTCATACATTAGGCCAACATAAATGATTCAG